CCCAGAAGCGCGCACCAGCCGAGGTCGCGAGTGGCAGCCCGGCGCTGAAACGGCGCAAACGCAGAGAGGGAAGAGGCGGCGCCCTGACGTCACTTCCGGGAGGCGACGTCAAGCCCCGCTGAGGACTACAATTCCCAGCAGGCTTTGCGCCCCCGGGGCGCGAGGGTCCGGCTGGAGTAACACGAACACCTGAGCCAAAGGCAGCTTCGCTCCTTGTTTTTGTTAGGTGCCATCGCGACTCTGTGCACAACTGAACGAAACTCTGCTCGGTCCTGCCCCATCTTCACGTCGGTTTCTGGTCCCTCCTGACAATATGTCCAAAGGATACAAGACGAAGTCTTGCCACCCTTGCCTCTAAAGTGTACTCTGGCTGTACTTCTTCCAAGACAGAGCGGTCGGTCCTTTGGGCAGTCTATGATACCTCCAATATTCTTCTCCAGCACCACAATGCAAATGCGTCTATTCTTCCTTATTCAATGTCCAACTCTCCCATGCATATGAGGTGGCTGAAAATACCATGGCTTACTAGCCTGCGTGATCCAAAGATGACGATAACAAAACACAAATATAAGGAAGGAAAAAATGTCAGACCTTAAATTGTGAATACCCAATTTGTAGAAGGCTATGGAGGACAGTGGGGCCCCAAAATCCATCTGCAGAGTCTCCAGTCAGATGAAGGCCCTGGCAGATCCCCTCTGGCCACGGAAGAGGGACGGGAACAGCTTTATTCAGAGATTATTGTCAACTTGATTATGGTGGATCGTACCATAGTACTTGATCAGTTGACCTCCCTCCTGACCCAACCTGAATTTGCCCCAGGCTCAAATATTCCTCACCCGTTCCATGACAGAAATTTCTTCTCTAGCTTTTAAAATATTGTCGGTGGTCTTTTATTTCTTACTTTTTATTTTTATCTTTATATTATTATTATTTTCTTCTTTTTTAAAGATAAAAGTAAATTCGAATAAAGAAAAATTCAACATTGAAGGCTCAGATATTCTTGGCGTACTGGGAAGGGGATTTCTTGCTTCTCTCCCCCTCCTCCCTGGTCGTTTTCCTCTGACCCTTGCCCAAGTTCCCTGTGGAATGCAGGAAGGATGCTGGGGGGGTGGGGGGGGGCAGGCAATAGGGCACATCAGCTGGCGGAGACAGTGGTGGCGGCGATGAGAGGGGGCACAGAGGTGGGCCAGCCAGGGGGAAGTGAGAGCGAGGCAAAGGAGGGGTTCTTAAGAGGGCAATGGGAAGATAGCAACAGGGAAGAAAGCCAAAGAACGTGTGGGTGGCACCAAAGGGCAGGAGTGGTGGGGTTGGGAGACGGCCTCCAGTCCCTGGGTCTCCACACCAACTCTTGTCTGGGGGCGGGTCTCTGAGCACTTTGTTTTTCTTCATACTGTCTAGGTATTCCTGTTGGGACACTGCCAGCACCGATGCTAGGATCTCATCATCATCCCAGTCATTCAGACCAAAGGCAGGGGAGCATCTGCTGAATGAGAGCCCGGCACTCCAGAGCAGGGTAGAGGGACATGAGAGGAGAGTTGGCCCGGTCGGTCCCTACTGACAACTGGCTGCTTGTACCTGGTGCCCAGGGTGAGGGAGGTTTGGCAAGAGCTGAGACAGTGCCTGGAGAAGGGGGCTTTTATGCCCAGCTCAGCATGCGGCTCAGAGTTCTCAGGAGATGAGGCTGAACTCTGCTGCCACAGGGACCGGCTGGTCCACTCCTCCAGGCCACTGGAGGCTGCAGCTGTGGCTGAACTGCACGTGGCGCTGGCTTTCCGGGGCTGGGTGGGGCCACGCACCTGGCGGGCCTGTTTCTCCTGATCCCGGAGCCACTGCAAGTAGGATTCCCGAGCCACCTGCTCCTCAATGGCCTCATTGGTGGCCTCCCAGTCTGTGACCCGCTTCTCGTCTTCCAACATCTGCTGCTCAATTCATGATTCCTCCGATGTTTTTATGGCATTTTTCATGAGGGATTGCTCTGCAAACCCCGGCTTGAAGGATGGTAGGCCCAACCCCACACCAATGGTGGCCTTATTGGGATTCACCACCGAGTTGTAGTGGATATTCTGATGGTAGCTGATAGCTGATACGGATAGGTTCATCCTCACGTTGATGGATCCCATGGAATGTGTTGATGGGTTCCGTGCTGTATTGATACATCTCTGCCATGGCCTGCATCTCAGTGTGGTTGCCATGGCAGTTATTGGCCTGCATCTCAGTGTGGTTGCCATGGCAGTTATTGGCCTGCATCTCAGAGTGGTTGCCATGGCAGTTATTGTTCCACTTCTGGTTTAGCTAGGTGGTGAAGTTCTCTGTGATGTAGTTGGAGAAGTAGTCTGCATTCCTCATCCGATAGTCCATGCAGTGCTTTCTCACAGCCCCGTGCATGTCCCGGTCACCATATCCTTGGTCAGCTACAGCGAGGACGAGACAGGTGCTTGATGAAAACCCTTCTGGTCTCGCAGTGCCGTTTCCAACCATGGACCCTGGTCTGTGGCCTCGATGCGACTGCAGTCGGTTCGTACTCATCCTCGCTGTTGTGGCCGCACCGACCTCCACCGGATCAGGACTACGGCGCCAGCCCCGGGG